GCATACTCTACTACTCCATTTTAATTCCACTGATCATGTTCTATAGCCTGGGGTTAAGGTTGTTAGACCCGTTCTTGAGAGGATATTGAGAGATACGAGCATTCTGCCTCATACAAGTAAGAAATAAAGACTATAATTCTGACTTTCGACGACTAAATATCATCAACGCCGCGTAACAGACCGGGGTGCCCTACTCCTTATACTATCAACAACAATCGCTACTAGTGGCTGCATCTTAGGTGATTTCAAACGGGAAAAACAACAACAGAGAGTAAATTCACGTAGTTTGTAGTAGACAGAAGTTATAAAACTCTTGATGTTTGGTTATCCCTGAGGGATGCGCCATGCACTCGACTTAATCAGGCGTCATTAGAAGTGGCTGAATGCTTATGTGGCCTTTACGAAGAATCGCGGTGATCTATCGATGTACTGAGGTCCGCGTTGTTATCCTCTATGACAGGCCGGTATCCCGATTCGCCGAGCCCGAATGGATGGAAGCTCGGCTAGTCTTGGGAGCGCCATCGAATCATCGACTAGTGTACGTCGAAAAACACCCCTAGCCGCCGTGTGACATGTTCTAACAGCACTCTTTCGATATCAAGGGACAAACTTCTGGAAAAGTCAATACACAGACGATGCCCAATGATCTGACCTTTCTATCTTCTTCCTTCATACTCATTTGATCATGAGCTGACAAAGGAGGTGGTGTGTAAAGAACCACTGCGTTTTCGGCGTACGGATCGAACATGGCAACTCTCATCCTCGAACGAGCCATACCCAAAACGCGTCCGGACACTGAAATACACCGCTGTATTGTAAAGGAAAGGACTATTGCGCACGAGTGGAAGCTTATGATGAAAACTTACAAGAATATCCGGATAGCGGAATAGAGAACGGTCTACAAAGAATCGCTGCTATCGCCTTCTCATGTTCCACAGCATCCCGTTCGACAATAGCCTTTCGATCGACTAATTTCAAACGCATCGGGTCAATTACGTCTTCTCGATCGCTGTTGAAGGGATTCTAAATTAAATAAAGATTGAAAATCGAAATAAATCTTCTCAAAGTGAAAGAATTGGATGTCAAATAACGTTTCATGATACAGTACTTATCTTACGGAATATCTACGAAGATTTACTAATTTCCTCCAATTCTAGACTACGTAAAATCCGTTTTCGCGCTTCATTTCAAAAACCTTTGAGAACAGGGCTTTCCCGCTTTTCAGAGTTTTAATGGTAATTCGATAGCTCAAATCTCAGCGACTTCAATACTATACCTGTCTCTAGAAAAGCCTTATCACTGCGTAGTAGTAGCAGAAATGAACTTGTGCTTCACACTCGACGCGCAGTTCTTAATCAGCTGGATGGCCAAGTGATTATATTTCGCAACATTCGCAATAAACAGTACCGAAGTGGCCAGGGCTTCTCGATGACCCTTCAACCCTTTGGGGACCATGAGGGTCTTTTTGATGCTCACCGTGCGACGTCAGATCCTATCCAGATCCTGTAATCACTGCGTCGCGTCTCATGAGAAAGTAGGCATACAGTTACGTATGCACGCACAGACATCCAGATGTCACCTGTTGACCGCCTCGCATGCGGCGCGCGAATTTGCCTGCTTTTCAGTGCCGGTTCTTCTAGGGTTAATCTAGTTTATTTCGAAGATAAGTTTGATTTTTTAAAAAAGTTTTTTGCAGAGCTATTGAACGGAGACCGAATAGAGGACTACTCGCACATGACGAAAATACGCGCGATATGAGCGCCGAGTGTGGAACTCGATTTTAATTTAGCTGTTACACCTCAGTAAAAGGGCCATTTTGGAAAACAAGCACAGTATTGAAACTGCCGAGATTTATGCTAAAGAATGATTACTAAAAGTCGAAAAAGGTAGGAAAGGCCTTGCCCCCAAAGGGCTGAAGAGAGGATTGAGGCGAGAGAAAAGTACTATAAGCAGTATCACGAGGTTCACATGAAAATTTATTCGCCTATAGCGTTTCGAAGTCTTCGTCTTCCTCAGAGCCGATGAAGAATCCGATTCAGATCCAGATTCATCGGCCTCGGAAAAGGCGAAGACGTCAAAATTTTGTCGAATCACATCAACCTCTTCGTACTAACTAGATCGGTACCTGCTCATTGTGAGGCGAGAAATGAAAAACCGATAACATTCGTTAGACAGCAACTTTTCATAGGAGTGTTAGTAACCCTTCGCAAGCTTAGATTTCTAGCTACAACCCCACATTGCCAGTTTTAAAAACACCCTTTTATAACGCTATAAAGTCCACACAAAGCTATGTCTCAGACGCGCATATTTCTCGTCGGACAGCCAGAGAGCACTTTCTTAGGACTGACTATTAGTGATTACTCGATAGCGCAGTCGTTGCTGATTCCAACGGATGTGCTTATATCCTAAGAAGACCCTCTTTCGGCGATGCAGCAGGTGGAATCAGCAACGACTACGCTATCGAATGATTACTAATAGTCCAAAGAAATAGCTCTGTCCGGTGAGAAATATACGCGTGTGAGGCATAGTTTTGTGTGAACTTTACAGCGTTATGAAAGGTCCTTTCAAAAACCGGCGACGAGAGGCTGTAGCCAGAAATCCAGGCTTTCGAAGGGTTACTAACACTCTCATGAAAAGTTGCTGTTCAGCGAATGAGGTTGGCTTCTCATTTGTCGCCTCATAATGGACAAGTACCGCTAAGTCATAAAATGAGCTATTAGTAATTGGTAATGTCTACTCAAAAGTTCGACTTTCTATAAACCTCGGCATAATTAATTGATATAGGAAAATTGAGAAAACATCTTGATTAGCTGACGCAAGGTTGGTAAATTAGTCGTAGTCGTTGCTGATTTCACCTGCTGCGTCGCAGAAAGGGGTTCTCTTAGGATATAAGTACGTCGTTGACTACGACTAATTTACCTACCTCGCGTCTAATCAAGACAGGTAATGCCGATGTTAACTCTCTCGGAACCATGGACCCAACTCTCTCCGTCTTTGACCCAGTGTGCTGGGTCGTAACAACGGAGCGTGTTGTGTCAAGCAATGGCCGCTGAGGTTAAATGCCGCGCTTAGACGCGACACGCCAGGAGTTAGAGACGCTGGGTCCAAAGTTCCACAAGGGTTAATGGGAACTCAACTTTCAAAATACTGAGCTATTACTTTTCTATAGTATTTCTCTTCCGTGATCAGATCTAACTATCATATCTGTCCGGATTTCCTCGAAAATATCAAAATTCGAGACGATAAAGAAGAATTAACATTGTTTTAAAGGAGGCCTGACGCCGAAAGAACTCTACAAAGGCAATACACAAACGACGTGGATCAATCTGCTTCGTTTCCTTTTCGGTCCGTCTCCTGGCGAGGTCGAACACGTCGCCAATGGACTACGGAACTGGCCGTGGATCTCCGGAGGCGGTGATAGCCTTGCCCTAGGCAATCCCAGACTTCGACGACGAATCGCTGGATCCGTCATTACCTCTATGCCATGGAAGCAGTCCACTCACTGAAAAGATCCGAACTTGAGCAACTGTTGGGAAATCGCTTGAAGAATGAGAAAGAGGGAAAGAGAGGGAGAGAGAAAGAAGAGGAGAGGGAGAAAGAGGAGAAGAGAGAGAGAGAGAGAGAATTATGCGCGTCCGCAACGCAAGAAATCTCCTTTTGTAGCAACGTCAAAAGAAGGGTTATAGTCTGAAGTCTCAGCTCTCGAATGGTTACTAATGCCTCTATGAAAAGTTCCTCTCCAGCGAACGAGATCGATTTTTGGTTTGCTTCCTTATAACCGAAAAGAACTCAAGACTATAGATTGAAGAATATGACATCTTTTCAAAGAGAGTCTTTACCGCGAACTCAGCAACAGCAACACTCCGAAGCTATACATCCAATGACGGAGAGCAATATACAAAACATCTGACCTCGGGCAGGAGTCGAACCTGGGTCTCAATCTTTCCGGCGGCACGAGCTACCCGCTGCGCTATCGTGGCTCTTGTTCTGCTATCACTCTTTCTGCGAAGCAAGGCATCTTTAAAAGATACCATCTTGTCTAGATACCAGAAAAAAGACTTACAAAAAACTCAAGTTGGGATGGAGCCGTAACTTTACAGAAAATGATGGAACCCTGAGCCCGAAAATTACCAAAATCTACCGGACCATGCGCGTACAGGTTCTAGTTTGTCAGGAAGTGAGGCGCTGGTTCAATCCCCTGTATCAGCACTCTTTTGCAATCAACTGGCTGAACACCTAGGAACACCTCAGGTCGAGCGTCTCCAACACGACGAGTTAATCGCTCCAACCACCGCTCTACGGCAAAAATTGAGGATACGAAATAAAAAGAAAAAATACGACCAAAAAAAATAAAAATAAAAAATAAAAAAAAGAAAAAAACGACCGGCAAAAAACACACGAAATGCTCGAAGACCATTGTGGAGAATGAGTTCGACGAGACATAAAAGGATCCAAAAGCTGCTGCTATCGGTACAAAAAATTTAAATAGAGATAAAGTAAATATCCAAAGCTACTGAGCGATATGGAGAACGCTGAACCTCGAGGGGAATCGAACCCGCATTCCACGGCCTTCTAGGAGCGTGTGTGATGCTAGCCAAGTGCGCTACCGAAGCTACTGTTCTATTATCACTGGCCCCTGTGATATAAGGTATCGTAAGGCAGAGTGATAAAACAAAGTAAGAAAAAGAGCTCAGTCCAGAAATGCAAAGCCAAAATTCCAAAATTTGAAATTCCCGCCAAACGTTTGGAGGTTCGCATTGCGTGCCTGCGAATCTAACGGTTACGGTGTTCGATCAATTACGTCATCGGGGCGCGGCCGCGCTTGTTGCGGGAGTTCTAGTAGTTCCCTTCATCGTCGCCAGTGTGACTTATCACTTTGCCCAGTAGAGTCATCCTGGATTATCGATCGGCCGACTCGATCGATATCTGCTTTATTTTTCTACATTCACTCTATCGATTACTTCCCGATTCCTAAGGATTCTGAGCTTTTGCAAAGCTTTTGACCCCGGGGCAGGAATTGAACCCGCGTTTCACCCATGCCCAAGAGACGAGTGCGATCAGACCATTACACTATCGAGGTCACCCTCTTTGTTCGACCTCTACTATCCAATTTCCTTTGAGTTCAGAGACTTTTTAAATAAATTTTTTGAGTTGTTCTTAGCCATATTATAACGTAATGGAGTGTGTTGCGCAGGTGGCTAGAGGTCTCCAACGACGCACACTTGATCGATGCGTTGCGATCCGCGCACATATAGCGCTCTCGCTAAGCCTTCCATCCCTCTGGGCTCTCAAGAGGTGATATGTATCGTCTGGGAGAATAGCAGCACTGACTCAATACATCGGTAGGGCCATCGCGAGTCATCAGTCAACATGGCACATCCTCTCAAGAATTGATCTACGCTGGAGGGCTCTGTCCTATTTAGCTTTTTATCATGACGTCACTTTTTTGAGCTCGATCTTGCCTGAAGATATTGTCGTGCCCAGTTGAGGGCAGAATCGTGCTCATTCATATCAATCACACCTGCGTTGAAGTCACCTCACCTCTATGACTTGTGGTCCGCGCTGATCGTCGAGTGACTCGAGAGGGACCACCAGCAACACTCCGATTTTTCCCTAGCGCGTGAAGGGTTACCCCGTGGGTCCTCCTTGCTCTTGAGACTCGTTGAGCGTTGTATCTTCTTTTATGCCTTTCTTGAAGAAATCGGACGGACCATCGGGTCGTGGTCTTGCCTTTAGAGTGGCTTGAACGATCCCGAGGAATCCAGTCGGTACGGCTCTCGTCCATCGGTTGTCGTTGAAGCGCATCACGTGTCCGGCCCACCTTATTTTCGATATCCTGGCGTTTTAGAACGACGTCCTCTGATTTTCGATCGTTGACGTAAGGTCGGAACTTCGGATCCTTTGTCTCATTTGCGAGATACGGGATACTCCTAGCATCGACCTTTCGACTGCGCGTGTCGATAACGCCAAGTGATCTTTTCATCCTGCTTACGTAACGACCAGATTTCTGCTGCATACGTCAGGGCAGGGATAATTGCCGAGTCGAAAGGTGGGCACGGAGTCGGATGTTCTTTGTCCCTTCACTACATCTTCGATGCTCTTAAACGTTTCCAAGCCGCTCGTTTCCTCCTGCTCAGCTCTGAGCTAGGGGCGTTCATCATGCTGACTTCACGACCTAATAGACCTAACTTGGAACATTTGGAGATTTTCGTTTCGTTGAACGTGAATGGGGCATTCAAAACCCCTCACTGGAATTCAGTTTGGGTATTGGATTTCATCGACCAACGTAGATTTTCTCGGGAAATCATCTTTATTTGACCGCCGATTGCGGTGTTATGTATGTTTCAGATAACCCCAATGATTGTAGAGTAGTGCGTTGTAGCGTGGAATGTGTGGAGTGCAAAACGAGCGTCGGTGGTGCAACGGTTTAGCACATGCTCCCGGAAGAGTAAGTCCGGGTTCGAATCCGGCTGACGTCAAACGTTTTTGCACACTACTGTAATCATACAATTTTCTGTCCGTCATTATTTGGTTTTCTCATCTACGGACAAGTCACGAATGGCATTGGTGGTCAATGCTTTCGTTGCGGAACAAATGACTGCGCCAGTTAGTGATATCTCGATTTAGTGATCTAATTTGATAGGAAACTATCATTACGAGAGAGATCAGCAAAAATTGTGGAGCTTCTCTTCGAAACGACGGTAGTTTTTCCGTCGTTATCATGGTTTAGTGGAACCCCTGTGCGTCCTTGGAAGCTCTTGAACCGTCAGTACTCTTTTCATCTCGCTTTCCCTCTTTTGCCAGGCTCATTTGGCGAACGCGAAGGCAGAGTGAGCTCCGAGCGCGATTGGTGCGCGTAGCGGGGGGGGGGAGAGCGGGGGGGAATACATGCAGACAGAGGGAGTGTGGTATTGCGTTCCTTGATTGCAAGTGTTTGCTGCAGTCTGGAGAGGGGGGGCGTCTGGCCAGTTCCGTCGCTCTTGTAAGTATATTACCCGTGCTGTGGTTCACTGCGTTCCCGTCGACTATTTTGTTGTTGCGGGCGCCGTCCCTGCTCCTCCTTGTGTCGAGT